CCTGCTATCCAAGTCTGCCCCGCAGGCTGCTCCCCACCGACCTCATTGGGGCCAGAGTAGCTCTGGGCCATGGGCCCTCTTATCGGGCTCTATCTCCTGTCACTTTCAGGACCACTTCATTATCCTTTTATTAGCCCTCTTCTCCTGCTTATCATTATTAATAATCACACTGGATCAGCTGGAGTGCTGACAGCTGCCCCTTGTCTATTCTTTCTATTTTAATCCTGCCTGCTTATCTGGAATAAACCTGATCCTTTTTCTTTTAATTAAAGAAATTTGGTCAGCCAGTCCCTCCTTCATGCAGAGATAGGACTGATCACACCAGTGATATGGACAGAGCAGGAAAAGGGGCAGATTACTGGGTGACAGTGTTTTCCACAACCTGAAGATACAGGATGTCAGAGTAGAGGCTGGAAGAGATCAAGGCACATGTGTGCGGAGAAGCACAGCACTGGGGCACTATGAGGTGCTCATTCTGGGGTCTGTGTCTGATGGAGTGGATTGCTTTAGTGCTGCTATGTCTGTACTGCAGGTGAGAGGCACCACTGCACCAGTGCAAGACAGGCAGGGGAGGTCTACTCACTCCTCTCTGCTTAGCATGGATGGCAATAGCAATGCCAGGCTAAGAGCCTGTACAGCTGGCACTTTCTGGGCTGCTGGGCTCACTGTAGTTCTTACAAGGGCTAAAGGATTTTACTTCTCAGTGCTTTATAATGTTGCCAGTAGATGCAAGTACTGGGCTTCACAGTGATGCTTCTGCTTCGTGCTCCCAGAGGCATTACTTCCTGGGGCCACAGATCTCATTCCAGTCCCTTAAAAATGCCTTGCTGGGCTGTTTGCTTGAGCTGAAATATTTGTGTTGTCTGAAGGGACAGGTCACTTGAGGAAGGGCTGTGCAAATAGGCCGGGGGAAAATTGTTGTGCTAATTCACACTTTTATGAACCCATAAACTCAAATCTGCATTCATTGCAATCTGTGAAGTGACTGGAGTGTGGGCTGAAATGCTTAGAGAGTAGTAGTCAGGGGTCCGTAACAAAGCAAAACGCTCTGAAGTGCAGCAGCAGGAGCGTGGCCATAAGCAGCAGGAGTATTCAACCTTAGCGCTAAAAATGCATATTCTTTGGTTCCCAAACGGTTCATTTCAGATGCACAAGTTGCAGCGTTGACTGAATGCGTATGTACCCTCTGCTACAGAATATGGCAACTGGCTCAGATTTGTAGGGTTGTTTCACCCCTGAGAGGCTGAGAGCCCAGGAAGGGTATAGGGCAGAACTTCCTGATGCTCAAGTGAGAGTGTAGCTCTGAAATCCTGTCAAGCAGAGCCATGCTGGCTTCTGTCCCTGCGCTTCTGTTGCTTTTGAGCATTTCAGCTGACTGGGATGAATGTCAGCCTGCAGTTCAGATGTTGGTGAGGGAGTTGCCACAATACAAACTCATGCACAGGGCATAGCAGATTCTCTAAAAACATGTGATCCTGTAACAATCGGAGGCAAGAATTGTGCATGGTGGCATTTATGCTATTGCTTCCATTTGAAATGTCCTGCTGTTCACAGAGAATCTTTCATCATTACTTAATGTTGAACAAAATGTTTGAAAGATGAGAAAATGCAGGGTTCACTTGCTTAAACTGACACAGTAATAACTGCTCAGAGCTTTTATTATCTGACCCTGCTCCTTCAGCAAAAATCATCCCCCCTTCAGATCCAAATAAGGAAGATTCTCAGGGTGGTTTTTGGCCCTGAAATGATGAGGGACACTGTTTTTGGTGTTGTGGGACATTTTGAATCAGCCAAAAAAGATGGACTCACAGTCCATGTGATAGCCTGAAGTCTTGCTTCGATCATTACCCCAGTCAGCAGAACTACCCGCAAAGCCAGAAAAGTGCCTTGGGAATTTGCCAAAGGACTTGGTCCAAGTCAAGCAACCTTCTCAGCACTTCAAGCTCCAAAGCCACACTGAAGTTAAGCTTGTGGCTCCCTGTGGGCTGTGGGGTTATGTGCACAGATGGGTGCATGGCTTGGTGAATCAACCTGCTAGATAAATGGGTGATTATAGTTCAGGCTGTTGTAGCTATACCTGAGCTCACTTAGAGGGATGAAAAGCAGCCTGGATTTGCACAGCTGAGTGCTGTGCCTCTTCTTCAAGGATCTGCACTAGCTCTTTTAAAGCCATCTTTGGTATTGTCCATCTGTACTGATTTATGCCCCGTAGAGATACTCTTACTCACTTCCATGGCTCTCAAACCCATGGTACCCAAGACTTAAGATTCTGTATGTTCCTGTGGGAAAGCTGTTAGATGCTCTTCATTTCACTCAAACAGACCAGAGTCATGGGCTGATAATGCAACTTATGTAGGGTCCTACGGTAAGACCTAAGGTCCTACGGTAAGACACAGCTAGGAACAGAGTCCAGCACCTCCAAGCATCCATCTAGTGCTGCAGGCACATTAGTTCACTAACTGAAATAAAGCACAAGGGCAGCATATTTGTTTATTTTGATGTTCAACCAAAAGCTGTCTTCAGGTTATAGGGCTCCTTCTGTATTTTCAAAACCACAAAGTAAAACTTCATAGTCTCTGTACAAACACCTTCCCTAGGATTGGCACAGCACAATGCCCACCTGGTAGTGCCCCCACTGAGGTAGGAAACTAATCATTTCCTGCAAAAATGGCTTCCTACCATAAGGCTGCACCCCTCATCCCAGAATTACCCAGAGAAAGGGATGAGTTGTGAATGTGCCAAACTGTTTCCAGTGTGAACTCCGGAAGTCAGAAGCCAGCAGGGCTGTTCAGCCTGTTGATATCTCTCTACAGAGTACCCACAATCAACTCTTCTGCTGAGCTCAGCAGAAGAGGACTAGAAAATAAGGATGGGAGATCCCTTCCATGCTGAAAGATGCTCAGGCCATTCAGACAGGCTTTGGTAGGTCACACAGTGCCACATTCCCTTAAAATTAACCAGGAAACTGGGTTGGTTTTTTTTGTTTTATGTCACGTGGTGGTCAGGAGCCTTTAAGGAAACTGGGGGCCCTGTCTGTGTGCTTTTGTCTACCCCAGCCCCAACACACCTAGTTCTTAATTGAGTGGGACTGGTTGCAGCACCAGATCTGTGATGCTTCTTGTGACATAAGACAGGCACAGAGAGAGCTTTGTAAAATGCCTAAGAGACTCATGACATGCAATTGAGTATGCCCAGTTTGGAGAATAATGTTCAGTACAGGCAATGTCACACTGGGAAAACAGACCTGTGGGCCTAAAACATCCATCCTTCACTTCTCACTATTTTGCTTAAGTGTGTATGTGTCTGGGTCACATGGATACATGCATTGCCTTGGCTGAAGGTGTCCTGTGCCATGTAGACCATACCTATGTCTCACCAGCTGAGTGGGTTCTGTCCTGTTGGGCCCAGGGATCTGTTTGTCTGTCTGTATGATGTGCACATGCACCAGCCATGGCTGAACTTGGAAGTATTTATGGCAATTAAAATGTTTTGCCTGGAAGCTGTTTTGGGGCTTTTTTGAAGTGAGGATTTTCAGACTTCAAGGTGTTAACAGCCCCTCTAAATGGTTTTGTTTTTTAATTGCAGCAAATGACTGTGGAGCCATTAAACATTCGCCTCTCTGCAGTTGTTTCTGAGCCCTTTCAGTCCTTCTTCTATTTATTCTGTTTAATTCAGTCAGGTAGCTTCGGGGCAGTGAAGATCAATACTTTACTTTGATAGAAAAGAGTCAGGTTTGAAACATAGAGATAAAACTGACACATTTTGTATAAATTTAATTAAAAATGCACCTTTAGTGGCTTGTTGCAAGCACAAAGCCAGCCCTCCATCTAGCCATCTCTCTGTCTCACTCCCTGTCGCTCTCTTCCCTTTCTTGTGCCTAACAGGAAGATCTCTGAATCTGCCTCACCAACAAAGCACCTTGTTTTATGATTTTTGTCTTGAAAGTTTAGCACGGAGGGAGGAGGATGGAAGGGATGTGAAATTCTAAACAGACCTTCTGCTCTCTTCCCAGTCCCACTGCTTTTGGTGGTGGTGGCTGGGGGGACGGGGAAGGAGCCAACTCCCAGTGGGGGAGAAAGGGGGGTGAGGCAAAATGATGTGGTGTTTTTTTAAACCCAGCAGATTGGACACCCTGGGGCACTTTCCATTTGGATCTGTAGCTTTCCTCCGCTCCCCCCCAGCCCCTTGCTTTGTTAAACTGATAATTATTTTTCTGACTACATGTGCATCCCTGATCCCATTAGGATAGTGCTGGCCACAAAGCAGTGTCTTTATTCTCCCTTTCTTTTGCTTCCCCTGTCCCCCCCGACTCTTCCCATTTCTTCCCTCTTGCTCACTAACCCTGCTGCCAGTGGGGACATTTGTCTTGTGTTTTATAATCCGGCCCCTTAACCCCCTTCCCCTGCATGTCCCTCTCTCTCTCTTTCTCAATCCTGTTTGGCTCGGTTCATTTTTCACTTGAGTGCCTCGCCTCCCAGACTCCCCTCTGCTCTGGCCTCCCTCTGCTCAACACCAATAAAACACACACAACACAGGTAGAACAAGGTGCCAGGGCTCAGCGTGACAAATGGCTCACACACCACTCAATAACCACTGCTGTAAATTGCCCCCTCTTCATCCTGCACTGGCTTCTGAGGCGGGTGCCTTGGCTGGGCCCATGTGAAACCTGCTGCCCCGCCACAGGGTGGGATGGGGAAAACCCGCAGAGTTTGGATACCAGACACTGCTGGGCAGAAACCTTTCAAGTGCTGTTGTTTTGGGTTGTGAGATTTAATGGCCCTGGTTCTCTCCCTGGTAGGGCCCTGCAGTCCAGAGAAGGGCAACAAAGCTGGTGAAGGAGCACAAGTCCAGTGAGGAGCGGCTGAGGGTATCTGGGGTTGTTTAGTCTGGAGAAGAGAAGGCTCAGAGGGGGCCTTTTTGCTCTCTACAGCTACCTGAAAGGAGGATGCAGAGAAGACGTGGCTGGTCTCTTCTAAGTAACAAGCAATAGGACAACAGAGAATGGCCTCAAGCTGTGCCAGGGATGGTTTAGATTGAATAGGAAAGATTTCTTCACTGAAAGGGTTGTCAGGCATCGGCAGAGGCTGCCCAGGGTAGTGGTGAAATCGCCATCCCTGGGAGTGTTCAGAAAACGTTCAGATGAGGCTCTTAGCAACATTGTTCAATGGTGGACTTGGCAGTCCTAGGGTAACGGTTGGACTTGATGATCTTAAAGGTCTTTTTCAGCCTAAACAGTTCTATGATTCAGGCCTCAAAGGGACCTGGGGGACTTGTTGGAAAATGGGGATTGTGCAGTAAGGGGGTGCGAACTGCCTTCCTGACCTACAAACCACCTATTTAGGTCATATTTTGTGGCCAAGAGTCTCAACACTTGTTCTATCCATGCAAGCTCTGGAAGGGCTTTAAAGAGCAAGAATGACAGTGTCTTCTTGAGGGCTGTTCCCAAGGGACAGAGCTGGGGTCTCCATGGCCATTGTTCCCCGTGCCCACACCAATCCAGCCAAGGCACGTCAGCCACCTACCCCTCACTGCTGAGCCGCAGCAGTCTTCCCTGGGATACAGCATCTGCCTGCCGTGGGGGCTTGGACCTGCCAGGGCTGCCCTGGCTGCACACTGCACTGCACGTGTTGCTGTAGTGCTCACGTGTGCTCAATGTTGTGCACTTGCATTCGAGCAAACATGCAGGAGTGAGAAATAAACCACCACACTGGAAAAATAAACCACACATCAGGGAACAGACAAGGAGAAGAAAACTGGGTAACAAAATAAACGTGAACAACAGCCCTCACCAGCTGGCAGCAACTGCCATCAGCTTCTTCCTGGCTCTGTGGAAACTGTTGAGAGCAGTGACATTAAAGAGCACATGGAAAATGGTCGGTACATTATGGACGGTGTGGGAAAAGGGAGTGAGGGTGGGGGGAGAGCAGGAGTTATTGATGGAGGCTGGATAGAAAGGAAGGAAAGGGTCTGGAAGATGAGAATAATCTTGAAGCTTATGCACAAGCAAGATAAACTTGTGGAGGAAGGAGGCTGAAGGACAAAGAGGCAGAGCAGTGTATACTTAAGAAGCAGCAGCAAAATCTAGCCTCATGATGGGGCGGAAGAGAGGCAGTGTCTGCCTCCCTGGCCCTGGGGGTGTGTGTGTGGCTGTCAGTGGGGCAGCATGCAGGCAGTGCCCCAGCTCAAGGCAGAGCAGCGGCTCTTGGATACAGCCGCAGGGAGCGACATGCAGCCGCTGCACGGAAATGTACTCTTTGAGTTCCATTGTGTTTGACTTTAGCTGTCAAACCGCAGTCACTGTGAATTTTTCTTGAGAACCAGAGGATGCTGTGCGCATGGAGCTGCTGGTTTTGCAACAAGATGCAAAGCTGGGTCCATGCCCCACGGATTTCAGGTCTTAACCCCACTTGTCTTAGGTAATTGCCAATGCCAGCAGATGTGTGTGTCTCCTGTTACCAGCTTCATTTGGCTCTGGGATTCCTCACCACCTCTCCCTGTGTTAATTTGTGGCAGTAATGTATGTAGCACTTCCACGCCCCTATGCAGGAGGCTGCATTTCAGCTGCAAGTGAAGAGAGGGTACTGCTTTAGCTTGCTCATCTTTGTATCACCCTGCACCCAAGCCCGTACCAGTGTCTCTGCTCTGCAATTCAGGCTGCTCAGCTTTACCAGCAGAGTTTCCTTGCTAAGCCAGGGCATGATGGGGTTAACTCTGTCAGTCTGTCTGCATAATATCAGCTGGAACATCAGTTAAAGTCCTCCTGAGTGATTCGTGGAGGTGAGTGCTGAGGGCTGGTTTCTCAGGGAGTGTACCGGGAAGGAGCGTGTGCGTACAGTGAGTGCACTTGTGCAGACAGACAACTCCTGTGTCTTCTGCCTTTAATCACAGCAAATGAAAGTTTCTAAACAGGCAGAAGATGCCAGGCTTTTGTGTTCTGCCACCAGAGCTGCCTCTGCGCTGCCGTCAGTGCCGGTAATTGCAGACAGAAGCCACTTTGTGTTAAAATGGCATCTGTAATTGAAACGGAATTCAGAATCAGGACCTGCAGGCACCGCTCGGCGAAAGAAGAAATAAAGATCATTTGGGTCACATCTTTTGTAATTTGCGTTTAATAATCGTACCAGGAGGTACACACAAAGGGAGAGGAGACATGAGACACAGCCCCGCTCCCCCTCCTCGCACGCTGCCTCCCAGCCTTCCCGCAGAGCCCGGTGGGACCCCGCACCCGCTCGGCAGTGGGGTGGTGGGTGGTGGGTGGTGGGTGGTGGAAGGGCTGCCGGCTGCCTTGCACAGCGGCTGGGGCTGCTTGTGAGGCCGAGCCAGCACCTTACATGGGCAGCCAGGAGGAGAGAACGGCTCCCTGGGTCCGTGTTAAACTGGATGCTCAAGCTCTGGGTTTACAGTTAGGCTGAGGATTTACGGGCCCAGGTGCTGGCTCTTGCTCAGTGGGTCTGGCTGAGCACTGAGCAGTGGAGGGCACTCTCCTGATTCAGAGTTCCTGAGTTGCTCTTTTAAATGGGCTCCCTCTGGTATCCTTTGACGGGCTTCTGTGCGTATGCCTATACAAGTATATTTAAACTCAAGCTGCAGGGCATAGCTTATGCTGAAATGTCCCAAACCTCTTCCACCACAGCACAATGAGGCCTCCTCTGTTCTGCTTATGGAGAACAATGTGTTGCATGTGGTTCCCCTCCTCCAAATCAAACCCAGGCAGTGCCTGGGGGCCTCTAACTGTTGGAGACCAGCACCCCCCAGGAGCCTGCCCATGTTCAAAGAGTGCCAGTGCGAGTGCCCATGCCCTGGTAAATTCACTAGTGTAGATGCAGCCTTGTGGTTTCCTTCTTGCCCTGTGATGGCTGGTGATGAAGAGCTCTCTCAGCCTCAAGCTGTCCAGGGACATCCAGCTGGTCTTACAGTGCCCAAAGCATGCACTGACAAGTCTCTGCTCCAAAGGCTGCATCAGCTGCTACAGCACTGCCTTGTTCCCCTTAGCCTAAGCCCCTGGTCCTGAAGGAGCTACGCTTGTCAGGTGCCTTTCCCGTAATTTCAGGGATGACCATGATCTATGACAGAGCATCTAGCATATGTGAAAGAGGAAGATCTGGTTCTATGCTCATGTAGGCTGCTGACATGCCTTCTCACTTTGCCTCTGTTGAGCCTTGCCCTAGTGCAAAAATAACCCAAATTTCTTCCATAAAAAACCCACCACTTTTGTCTCATGACAAACCCAGACACATCAAACACGTACCTTAGGTATGGCAGTATCCATTCACATATTGTACTTTGGTCTTTCTAAAAGCCAGTGACATCCTGGGAGCCACTCTAAATCCAGGCAAGATAAATACAGATACGAGCACGACCAGTCCATTCCATCCTTGAATACTGTGTCTCTTTACTCCAGACTTCAAGTACATTTTGGAGAGCAAACTCAGCCCTGGTTACTTTCATTGGTGTCCTGTTAATCTCTATGGAAAGGAGCACATGGCACTGACTGGGTTTTTTTCACACAGTGTATTTTTTCTCTGCCATTAGGCTTGACTCAGGGACAGGCTTCATTGTCACCTGTGGTCAGGATACAAAGGAGACATCTCCAATGTCCAGCAGTTCCCCTGTGCTCTGTATTGATGCTGTAACCTCCCAGTTTCCCTTGCACAAACGCTCTGCATTTCCTCCTTAAGCTGCTCCTGGCAGCTCACCATTTCATAGTTCTTGCCTATGGCCAGGAAGAGCATCATCTGTCAGCTACATCTGGAGCTGCCATCCTGCCTTCTCCCAGGGAGCCCAAGGGGTCCTTATCAGAGGGCCAGAGCTGCAGTTGTGACAGGAGAAATGTAGGTTGAGGAGAGAGGTACCTTGGCTTCTTCCAGTTTTGTTGCTATTACAGGGAAGACTCTGGTTAAATTTTAAGAGCCAGTATCCTGATTTCTCTTTAGCCTGGAGAAGGCACTGATATGTGATTTAGCATCCCCTTCTCAAATGTTATCAGTAAATACCCAGAACTTAAAACCCACACACCTGAAGTCAGATGAGGGAGAGCATCTGAAAGAGGTAAAGAAAAGGAGTTTCTTAACTTCATGGAGAGTGTCCAAGCCCTGTATAATTACATGCAGATACCCAACCTTTCCTTTCTGCCTGACAAACTGAGCATGCATTAACCTTTGGATGCAGCAGCAGAGCTGTTGAGGAAGTCCGTAATTGTCTCAGGTTCATAAAAGGCACTGTGGATGCTTTGCCCTTTTCTCTCCAAGCTTTCCTCTCACCTTATGCATGGTGAAGACCTAGCAGGTATCATCACATTAATCCGGTTCCTTGCAAGCAGTTCAGGGTATGACTGTGTCACAGCTTGTGTCCTGCAAAGATACCCAGGTGAGCTGGGCTGCTGTGTATGCATGGCTTTCTGGATGGGCTTTACATCATGCAGTGGTTTATCAGCCCTGGTGAGGTGCTGTGGCAATGCTCTTCTGCTCTCTGCAGAGTCCTGAATACCTCCCCAAATCCTCAGCTCCAGTTTCAGCATTTCCACCCTCTTCCTCCATAGAGGCCTAGAGCTCTCAGGTGGATAGTCAGATGTTAGCTGATGGAGAGAAGAGAGCGCTGTTGAAGAAGAATTGAAATGAGCCCTCCTGGCCGTGCCCTGTTTTAGTAACTCTCCTGGGGCTGCTTCTATGGGCCTGCTATTTGGCCCTCTGACATCTGCATCTCCTTTATGCTGAGCCCCTTTTCCATGCTGTAGAAGATGTCATTAGGAGAAGGCCATGAAACTATCTATGAGCAACATCCTCCCCTGATCCGTACATCTCTCTCACACACCCCTTTCACCTCTACCCATCACAGAATCATATAATCATAGAATCACAGAATGGTTTGAATTGGAAGAGACCTTAAAGATTTAGTTCCAACCTCCCTTCCAGCAACACCTTTCACTAGACCAGGTTACTCAAAGCTCCATCCAACCTGGCCTTGAACACTTCCAGGGATGGGGCATCCACAGCTTTTCTGGGCACAGTG